CAATAACAGTGTGAATACTACTAGTGTGTGTTGCTTGTCAGCAAGACTATGTGTGTCTTGTCGAATTGTTTATCTTTGATAACTACAATTTCTCTATTTTGCATGGAAGCTAGCAACTGTGTGTGTGTGTGTAGCGATTGATCGTAGGCCTACACACTCTGATTTACTGCGATGTAAGTTTGCTTTTATCTAATAAATACGTTTTTAATTCTGAAAAAAAAATGTAATGAAAGATTTTTGCTGGTGGCAAGCAGGATAAAAATTTTAGTTTTCTGTATTTCCAATTGTTCACTGTGGCAAAATAATATTTCAATTCTATTCCAAATTAATGGGTTCGCAAAACAAGGTGCTGGAGCTATTTTGTCTAGACAACTTGCACACTTTTTTTTTCCAGTACTGACCATATTATAGCGTATTTAAACTCAATTTTCTAGATTCAGTCTTTAAAAATTTACTGAATAGTGCCATAGAATAAAATGCTACAAGCAGAACGAGTTTTTAGACAGTAATGCAGTTTAATAAATTTGTCATCCAAAATTATGAATAATGTTGATAATATATATTTTTTTTCTTTTAGTATCTAACATCATACGTGAAGTATGTGCTGCTCTGTGGATTGCACTCCAACCCATATACCTGAGCATGCCCAGGTATGAGGAGGATTGGCTTACGATTTCGAAGAATTTTGAAGAGCAGTGGAACTTTCCAAACTGTATTTGTTGTCTCGATGGGAAACATATAATGATTGAGAAGCCGCAGAACAGCGGAAGCAGCTTTTTTAATTACAAAGGATTCTGCAGCACGGTTCTGATGGCATTATGTGATGCAAACTATTGTTTCACCTGGTTAAGTATGGGGCAGAAGGCCATGAAAATGATGCATCAATATTCGGTCGTTCTGCCTTGAGCAAAAGAATGGAAGCAGGCTCTCTGAATGTGCCACCACCAGCTGACGTATGTGGGGTAAAATTGCCACATGTCATATTAGGTGATGCCATCTTCCCTTTAAGGTCGTGGCTCGTGAAGCCATTCGGTGAAAACAATCAGACATTTGAAAAGAGGGTCTACGATTATAGATTGTCTAGAGCAAGGAGATGCATCGAGAATGCCTTCGGAGTGATGGCTGCCCGCTGGAGGATTTTGCATACCACCATCAAGGCTGGGTTGGATACTGTTGATGCCATAGTTAAGGCTTGTGTTGTGTTACACAACTACATGATCCAAACTGAAAATGCCCACTACATTCCCTCAGGGTTTATAGATTCAGAATGCAGTGGGCATTTTAAAGCTGCAGAGTGGTGTAGTGTAACAAAAGACGACGATGGCCTACGAAGGTTAAATCGCCAAGGATCCCCGAACTATTCATATTCCGATAAAGAAGTTACTAGCCTGGCATCATACCTCTAGACCACCGAGCTTGCGTCTGATGGCCAGGGTTGAATTCGAATCCAAGTGATCTGGAGTTCGTGGGTTCGAGTCCCACCCGAGAACAGCTTGTGATTTTTTTCGCAGTTGTTTTCAAATGTACTGAGTATTCGGTACATTTCCACGTCAGGTAGGGCAAAATTACACCTATACATGCTTCCCCTGACGCAAATCCAGTTATTGTCTATTCCATCATCATCAGAGTATTTACACGGAGGGCCTAGGCCTACATCTCTTAGCTTGTTTCTAATAAATATCGCCAACTCCGTCTATTACAATTTATATTTTTTAACAACTTATTCAAAAACTAAATCATTAATTCCTTTTTATTATTTTTTTTTTGGTCCATCTCCGATCTGCCTTTTATTTCTGATTGTAACCAAGAACAAAATTTTGCAATCTGGTCCTGCGGTTCTTCTGGTTTGTTAATGAAATCGATTACAGCCTGTTTGTTAATGAAATCGATTTACTGGAAATGGGCTGACACGCTTCCTTCTGCAAATGAAAAGACATTAGAGGGAACAACAATCAACTTATGTTTGTAGGTAGAGTAGGAAATTATGTTGTATAGTAGTTACAGAGGCACCCCCCCCCCCCAATCACATCCTATGCAATAACTTGTTAGATATTGATGTTTAGGTAAACCCAATAGTACAGTATAACATTATCAAATTCAAGGTACAAAAAGGCAGTGAACTACAAACGTTGCATGTAATATGAGCCATAAACGAACGAGTAATTTTTAAATGCTTTGATACTCCAGCATAAAGCTCGATATAAATAGAAGTACATTACATTACATTAATTCACATGAGAAATACATTCTTTTTACAAACCTTTGCAGCTTTCTTTCCCTTGTTTGACCACGCTTTCTTTCTTTCTAAAATGAAATATGAGGTATGGTATTATTGAAACAGCAAATTATAAAGATGGCATGTTTGCTTAAATGAGTAAAAAATAGTGTTATTTTCTTGTAATTTAATTGTATAACACTAGAAAAATGAACAAAAATTAAATCTGAAGATTAAATTGGATTGGAATGGATTAATTATGTTGTGGAACTGACCTTCAATGTTCTTGTGGGGAAACTTGTGCTTGTACTGGAGTTTTAAAGTCCTCCCCATCTTGATCTATAACATTAAATAGAAAAACATTCACAATAGATCACTTTATAAATATTCCAAATTAAAACAATAAGTATGAAAATTGAAATTATAAACTCAAAAGAAAAAGCATTTCCTTATTAGGCAATCCAAAATATATAAATTAATAGTCAACTAACCGTTATCAATTTTAGTATCCTCGAATGAATTTTCTATAGCTTTAAGAATTGTAGTAGCCTGTGTCTCAGAACCCTCATCAAAGGAGTAGTCTTCCTGATTATTATCTGTTAAAGCAAATAAAATAACTTTAAAAGTAACCACTTTTTATATATTTGTTATGCAGTGCCAGAAATTCCTGAACAATATTTCAATTCAATTGAATTTAATAAAATTTAGGTAAAATTAAAAATGTGGATTTTTTTCCTGCCTGTATTAATAGTTGTAAAATGGGATGCCAGTCAATTCGAGCGGATGTCAGTTCGAGCGGATGCCAGTTTGAGCGAATGCATTTAGTGCGAACTATAACAAGGGCGAATTTATCGTCGCCGTATTCTTGTATTTGTTTGTTTTAAATGCAAAAAATGCTCTGATTACTAAGGTCCTGAAAGGTTTTTAGTACTTTTTGATAATTACTCCATGTTTGAATTACAGTCTTGGTAACACTGACTACCAAGATGGCCGATAACAAATTCAGCTTAAAAAAGAATAAAGTGTATGTTTTACTAGAGTGCACGAGGAGCACACACACAAGACGAGTGACCATTATTTTTTTCATGGTAAACAAAGTGGGGTGGCTAGCCACCCTATTCACCACCCCTCCTCCTTCCCCAGATCCGCCACTGGTTGGGGTTCTCTATTTAAAAAAGCAAATTATATTTGTAATTGAGTTATGCTGCTCACTTATCTATTCTGGAACTGTTGTATGCCCCTTCCCCTTTGAAAATGTCAAATTTTTAGCTCAAAAATAGGAAATTTTGAAGTAATTCGTATATAACTCGCACAGGTTGTTGTTCGCACAAGTGGATCTTCTTCCGCTGAAACTAGCATCTGCTCGAAAAAAATTCCGCTCAAATTGGCCTTCGCTCGAAGTGGCATCCGCTCGAATTGACTGGTTTCCGTAAAGTGACTCTTTTGCCCTTTTTTATTGTAATAATTATTATACAGTGTACAAACCTTCCTCTTCCTCCAAAGAGCATATATCAGCTGCAACTTGTTCCTTGTAGTAAGGCACTAGCCACCGGAGGGCCTCCCACTGCTTGCACACAGCATCTTTTTTCAAATAGGAAAGGGGACGTTTATAAAAAAAAAAATATTTTTGCGTTACAAAATTTTACTAGGCTTAAAGAGGGAAACACAACAAAATTTTGTTGTCTTTAAGAAAGATAATGTATGAGAAACCGTCTTACCTCGAAAAGCGAGTACGCACATTTTTATATGCCCGTTCCACAAGATCTCCCATCCAGGCTGCCTATCCCCTGCATTTTACCTTCATGTAGTTCAACTCGTCCGCCACTTTTTCTAGAGCATTTTTTTTCATAGTTCTCTTATTTTTGTAGTTGGCAGCCCTTCTTTCATACAATATTTCAAATCTCTGCACAACTTCCATAAGGGATTTTTCACTATGGCCCATCTTTTGTCTAAAATTTAATGATAAACAATATATATTAAATAATTTTCAATAAATGTACCTACCTACCTAAGCCTAGGCTAATGAAGTGCCTTCAAAAATCAAAATATAAAAATCAAAAATGGAGAACTAGGCCTAGCCTAGAACTAGGCCTACATTATTACATACAAATGACATATCATTCTATAAATTTGTGAAATACAGTGTACTTTTACTAGGCCTAATCCATGAGATATATAATAATTGAGTCTGTCTAACTAGGCTCAGATAGTTACGCTTGACTACGCTTGACAGCTTCCTTTCCATAGGGAAAAGAGTGGTTGCCTTGCGTTCCATTCCAGATGCCTAGCAGCATAGGCCTAGGCTAGCTAGCTGGCCTTAACCTAGACTAAACGGGAGTGTGGGAATAAGTAAAATCGAATGGCTACCTGTTAGGTTAATTATCATAATAATATATTACATATCCATAATAGGCCTATGTCTATCAATTTTCAAAGAAAAGTACGTACGTTTGAGTTTAGAGCAAGGAGACGAAAATTGCTTCGTGTACTAGCAAACACACCGCACATCACACACAGGCCTAGCGCGCAAAAACAGAAAAGTTTCAATAACATCATCAATGGATAATTTGATTGGCCAGTTCTTACGTTTTTCGTCGTTAAAGTTGAACCCGTTTCAACTTCAACGATTGCTAACGATAACGATATCTAGCGTCAATTTGCGATCGATTTTACCCATTTTCGTTAAAGTTTACCGATATTCATAACGTCGGCGTTGAAGTAGCAACAATCCCTTTTCCTGTAAATCGTTATTTTTGTTTGAACAACGATCGAGATAACGTCGACAGGAAAAGAGGCTTTATGTGCACATGGGCCATAATGCACATGGGACCAACGGAAAACGTCTCATCCGAAAGACGGTCCGCTATTGTAACTTGTATTTCAGCCGTCTAGTAGAAACACAAGGTGAGGCAGCGATGGGAATTGAACCGGGGACCTATGAGATCCCCACAGTTCAGCGCACACACAGTGGCTACCACCAGATTAGCCGACTGAGCTAAGCTGCTGAGAATGGCACTCCCTTTTTTTCTCTTTTGTGTTGGTAGTCCCACTTTTATTTGTTTCTTAATTTCCCTCATAACGGATACCAGCGCACTACAAATGGTAAGTATAATATAGAATATTCCAACTATCTATTACTGAATTGATGTGCATGTTGAGATGAGATAATAATTATTTTAAATTTTGTTTTTATTATGGTAGTTAGCTATGTATGTTAGCTTTTATTTTGTGTTAATTACAGTATACCCCTATGTATAATTCATATTATAGTGTTGTTAGTGACGTTATAAATCTGTATCAAGTTAGCATAAACACTAAGGACATTGCCTATTAAATTTGAAGTAACCGAATTGAATGTCATTTATCTGAACATACAGATAATTTTTTTAAATAAGTTAATGACATAAGAATCATAAAATCATTGGGGTTGCCACGGACTGCTCCATGTAAAGCATCATGTTGGCATCTTCTGTTATTGCAGCGTGTTACCACCAGCTTGATTTTACAGGAAATGGGTTTAGTTGGGCTTTCCCAAAAATTGTTCTAGAGAAAACAATTTTGTCCCGGAAATCAGGACAGTCTCCTGCACTCCCGCAACTGGACAAGAATATTCCGGAAAATAACCCATCTCCTGCAAATTTAAATCCGCAGGTTTTTACTACTATACCCCTATAATATCAGTCATTTATCTGACAAAATTCCATGTTGATTGGTAAGTAGCAAACAAAAGTTACATGCACTAAAAAGCTTGTTTTTAACAGATCTCCTGGAAATGACTTCTTCCAACTCAACTTGGGACCCCTGCAATTGGTAACAGAGACATTCCTACCCTGTACTGGGTGCTGTGCTGGGTGCTGTCCCAGGCATAATAGATTAAATGCCAAACTCTGCTTAGGAATCTTCACTGGGACAACCCAAGTGTGCCTTCCTGCCAGCATAATCAAAGTCAAATTCTTCTACAATAACAAAGGCAATTGGAAAGCTATGGACAGGCGCATGCAAAATTGTAGTGTGTGTAAATAGAACCAGAAGATTTCCGCAGGGTACATAAAGAGGAGTTGGATTACATTTCAATAATATTGATTTTTTGTTGAGTGTTATGCAAATACAAATATTTAAATTATATACCTCAAGAATGGAATCAATTAATTTTCACTTTCACATAAAATATTTTATTTAAAGACATATGTATTAAAATATATATGGCATAGTTTCATCTAAAATACATTATAAATGATTAAAAAAAATAACCCAATCTTCTGACCACCCCTTGTGTTTATTTCTTTCATGATGACAATGAGAATCAGAATCATTCAGCTTTAGTACCGTTCAGTGCTAGAATATCTTGATTCCATAAATAATTTTTTTATGGTTTAATTCTTGGTTTTGAGTAGATAAGCAGAGTTAAACCATGATACATATTTATATAATTATTTATCCTGTCTTGTCTACTATATAAAATCATCATCATATTATTTAATTTTAGCATTAATATTGTTCTTCTCATTTTCTAATAAAATGGTTGAATTGAAGGTTTTTAAATTTAATCATTAACAGAAATGTTGTAATGCCACTATAACATTTAAGAAACTTATAATGGATAAACGATAACACCACACTCCATATAAATCTGGGTGACAGGTTGTGACAACTGATGGTGCACACCCCAGTGAGCACACTTCATCAGGAGAGCAAAAATTCCAAGCATCCTGGGTATGAACGCTGTGATTGGACAATGATGACAATAACTTTACCAATCTACTGCACCCAAAATAAATCAGTTTCATTGGTGTACAGAACTTATTAAGGGGCAGGTAAAGTTGTCTTGCTGAAATAATTTTAAAAAAATTGTATAGCTGCAGTACTTGTGTATTTTGTGTTATCATGTATTTTAATATTAATAGAACAATTTTACAAAAACACTATCAAAAAGGCATAGAATCATCATTACTGTAATTGAACAATGATACCATGTTATAAATGCCTGGCTTAGTATAGTTGTTTGATATAGATGTTCAGTATTTTGGTTAAACATGTTTTACATTGTTTGTTTATTTACTATTTTTGATTTAAAGGTAAACCACTTATGTTGTCATGTGCCACTGTACAGTACCGTTAAAAAGGTGAAATTCCTAATGAATGCATATACACTGATGTACAATATGAATATCCCGTATTATATACCTCATACATAGATTCTAGGCATCTGATTGGTTAACAAGCGGGGCAATAGAAAGTACTATTCCCCTCAAAAATAGTACTTTTTTGACCTGTCGTGATGTGCAAACTCTAGGCCCACTAGACATAGCGCTGTGAAGGTAAAGGGGATTGCGACCTCTACGAGGAGATTATCCCCTGGACCGCATCACAGATCAGCGAGTAAACGATAAACAATAATGGAGGCTGCTCGTTTCGAAATGGAGGACTAGCCTAGGCCTAGCATTAGTTCTTGCCGATAGCAAAAGCACCAAAAGACAAATTAAATATTCGACAAATAAATTGCAAGATGATGAGTGCTGTTGAAATTGAGGAAATAAGCAAAGAAGAGCTAGACACACTCTGTGATCGCCTAGGGCTTAGGCCTAGCTAGTCGAGTAGTAGTAGGCCTAGAGTATGCCTCTAATATAACAGGCTAGGAAGTAAGTACTTTTTAGGCCTCATAGAATCTATGTATGAGGTATATAAAACAAATATTGACTGCTCTATATTCGGGGAACAGTGAAATCTATTGACCCTCGGTGATGTGAAGACCGTAGCCTATCTTCCTGAGGGCTGAAGGCCCAAGGGAAAATAGGCTCCAGTCTCCACATCACCTCAGGGCAATAGATTTCACCATTCCCCTCATGAGCAGTCAATATTTGTATACTATACTGTATTCATAAAAAAGAATAATCGTAGTAACATTAGAGCCAATTTTGTAAATATCTACAGTAGGATTGTCTTGGGTAATGTCATGGACCACACGATCACTTCAAGTGGGGTTTTAGTGTGAAAATAGGTATTAATTAATCTATAATAGAATATAAAGCTAATAATATTTTAAAGATAATTGAACACAAACTAAATCTCTTTAAAGTTGACATCTGTACCATTTTTCTATATTTAAAACTAGCCTATACATAGAGCAATTTGTATAATGGTAACTATTTAGATTATTTTTAACGTGCTACAGTAACAGCAAGATTTTTTTTATGTTGTTTCACAAACCTGCCGTCCACTGTAAATGATTATTGAAAACTTATTTCTTGCTCGTTAGAGCACCTGCCATTTAAAAAAAAAATTGGACGTATAACAATTTTTATCCTCTAGTCACAAGTGCCATAATATCTCATGATACAATTGTTTTCTTTCCTCATTACATATCAGTATTTATAAGTCTGATGTTATCTTGAGCAAAGAAGAATACCCTCAATTAGTTCTGCTTCTTTTAAATAATAAACTTTAAAAAAACTATACTATAGTGAGCACCCCTATCAACATCCACAAACACCACAACCATAGTAACAAACTCTTGAAGGAGAAATAACAACTCCATCACCACATACAAACTAGCTACCCACCTCTTTGGTTACCACTTCTGCAATTATAGAAAATTATAATATCTTACCTCATACATGATCCCTAGGCTATGCATATACTGTGATGCTTAGAACTTGCTGGACGAATCTGGGACACATACTCTATAACATTAATCATATCATCTGATGAACTGGACCAGCGTACCCCTGTACATACTGTACATACAAATAACAAATTTTGAGAGTAGTGTATGTTGTGGACAAAATTCAAAAGTCACATAATACTAGTAATTTGTCATGTCAAATAATTATGCCTATTGTTATTTATTATGCTGAAACTTTGCATTGTGGTAGTAAGTAGGGTTGTGAGCTTGGCCTAGGTTCTAAGCATTTGTTTCTTATAAATCAGAGCAAACCAATATGCCCACCAGAAAGCAAAGTAAGATTCATTCAAGTACTGTAAGCAGTGGCGGCTCTAGCATATATTTTCTGTGGGGGGGGGCAGAGCTGTCTGACAGGGGGACTTGAGCTTTTAGGCCTGAGCTGGGGGAAGGGTTCGAGATGGTGTTCCCACTCCCAAATGAGATTTTTTTAAGAATAGGAACCTCTGGATGGTTTAAGCTACTTCACTTCACTTGCTGGTGGCGCTGCAAAAGGGCAAAAAGAAGTTTGAATTTAATCCTTTATAATTTATATCCCCACATGAACCATGAAACATGTACTATAATAGAATTTTCATAGAACATAGATTACACTTTTATTAAAATTAGCTTACATTTGAGAATGAATATCCACTGCCTTCCATATGGAATGTTCCAACATAGTGTATTGCACAATCTTTGGATGCTCAAGATGATTATATTTTTCTAATTCCCACAATGCATCGCTCCTTGCCTCATCTCTAGGTTTAAATATATTTGCAGCAAACCACTTCACTAAATCAGCTGCTGCAATGTAAAAAAAATGCTGAAAATTGATGAACTAAAAAAAAATCAACATAGTTGGTACTTCTCATATAGAAGTAGTAAATGTAGCCTGAGACCTAATTGTTGACCCATCTTCTTTCAAACCTTTTACATATGAAGCACATTAGTTGCTAACATTAATTAATCTTTCATATTTTTGACAAAAAATTACAACTCATTAATTGCAATAATATTAGATGGTAAGTGCCTTAATGCCTTGGATATAGACTTTCAGTGGAATTTGCAGCAGTAAAAAAATTGCATTGAATTTAATAAGTAATTTTTTATCATAGCAAAACCTCTGCTTTTGTTTATATTTACAGTAACACTATATTTGCTTCATCGGCCTAATTTTAACATAAAAGTAGTAGAAAATAGAACATAAAAC